GCATAGTTTATTTTGTTTTTTTAATAAAATGAATACCTTTTCAAAAATAAATATATAATGTAATAATTAACTTAGAGCTGCAACAATTTGTTGCTATCAAAATTACATAAATTGTTTTCATATTAAATATATATTAGGAAGCTCACTTGTAGCCATTTTCATATTAAATTAAATTTGTGCCTTTTATTGTTTTAGGTTTATGACATCACCTTGAGCCATTCACATGCATCTGATCAGTGCTGCAGGCAGACAGGTTCCTGCAGGATCACAATTTTCTGAAGCAGCTCTGAAGACCAGGGAGGCTCACCCAGTGCTGAACAGGACCAGCTCTTCATGAGGAACAATCTGCAGGACACCTTCAGAGACTGTGACTCTGCTGAAGATTCTCATCACATCTCCTCTGACCACAGCTGAATCTGAGAGGAGCTTCTCAACACTGAAGACAATCCAGATTTTCCTCAGGTACAACATCACATCTCACTGCACTGACCATGCTCTATATAGAGAAGAATCTTATTAAAACATCCCTGACTTTAACCAGAGTCATGAAGAACTTTGCTTCTCAGTAACAGAAGAACAAAATTTATGTACAAAAATTAACGCAATACATAACATTGTAATGCTGTTTTGTTATTTTCATTTGTTAAATAAATACACTGGCGTGATACAACTTAGTATGTTTGATTGCTTTCCGAGATATGTGTTTTGGAGTTGTAGCCCCCTCTGGAGAAAAATCCACCAGCCGCCACTGCATCCAAACCAATAAGTCAGGTGATGGGGCACATGACCCTCTATGAACAATAGAGCTAATCAAGCCTATTGTTAGGAGATGGCCCACTTTTGCGTATGACTAACCTGTTTGTCCACCATGTGGAGGCAGTACTTTTAAGGCTGAGTTCACCTGAAACTCATCAGACTGAAGAAGTCTCTTGGAGGAGAGATGAAACGTTTCACTAAAGAAGAACCCATCCAGAGAACCTACTTATTTTTTTTTTCTTTTTGATTTTTTCTACCTGGATTACTGAGATGCATCAGGACATTTACCCACAAAAGTTCATTTCTGACTCAGGAAGTCAACAGGGTGCAGCTTCTCAGAGGTGATATTAGGCCTATACTGCAGATGCCTGTTTTAAAAAAGGCGTTTTGTAAATAAATGTTTATTTTAGGATGAAAATATAATCTAAAATCAACATATTGAACGCAGGCTTGTGAATTGAACCATATCATGACAGACGGTGATATAAAGAAACATCCATCATCCAAACAAATGTCAAAATAGTATTTTATTGTGATAAAGCTGGTGATATACACTCCTATTCTTTCACAAAACCCTGAAAATGCTTTTAAGGTGTAGGTGTAGGAAGGTTTGTTCATTTCATTTCTTATAAAAACAAAATTTATGTACAATAAAAAAACACAAATCACAAAAATGAAATGAATGGTGACAGAAGAAAAAAAATCTTATATTTGTGCCTTTTTTCTCAAAAAATAAATTTAAACAATAATGATCTTCAAACAAAAACTAACAAACAAAAAACAACCTCAAATCCTTATTTAGTATCATTTTGTATGAACACACGTTATTACATTTCGTATTTCTTTAACAAAATGACCTTTACCAATTTTTTAAACATAAACATTGTTCTGGCATTTTTGACCTCACTCTCCAGATTGTTCCATAGTCTTATTCCTTGTACCGAAGTACATCGTTCCCTTAAACAATTTCTAACTCCAGATTTCACAAACATCTCCACCCCTTTCAAATTATAACAACTTTCTCGCTTAACAAAATTCAATTGGATGTTTAAAGGCAATATACCTTTATGAGCCTGTTATGATTTCTGTCTGTGTTAAGTGTTTTTATGTTTTGTTTCTGTCATGTTCATGTTTCCTTCCTCCTGTCT